ATGGAGGACTATGCGACTGATAGGGAAAGATTATCCAGATCTATGGCCAAGAGACAAAAAACAAGGTGCAGAAGGGTACGGGGAGTATGTTACTATTGTTGCAGATCTGTATCTATAAAAAGAAACAAAGAAAGACAAAACAGAAACAAATATTAGCTGCTATAATGTCTGGCGAGGGCAGGAATAGGATTTCTCTGAGCAGATCTTTTTATATGGCTTGATTGGAACCATGTTAATATTTTACATATTTAAAAATTAAATCAAGGGGGGGACCCTCAAATTGAATAGAAACAAAAACAAATTGGGGCACCTGGGTGGCTCAGTCAGTTGAGCATTTGGCTCCTGATTTTGCTCAGGTCATGATCTTACAGTCGTGAGATGGAGCCCCATATCAGGCTCTGCGCTGAGATTGGGGAGTCTGCTTGGGATTCTCTCTCCCTCTCCCTCTGCCCCTCCCCTGCTCATGCTCAATCTCTCTCTCTCGAAATAAATATTTTTAAAAGGAAAAAAAGTAAATTAATGCAACTATATATTGAGTTGACAGCATAACCACACAGAAGGAAAAAATTAAGTAACTTGAAAATATAGTTTTCTGTACCTATTCAGTGGGATATACAGAAGAATAAAAAGAACTATGAAGAAACCTTGATCTGAATTTTATTTTACTTATTTTTAATTTTTTTATTTATTTCTGAGAGAGAGAGAGAGACAGCATGAGCAGGGGAGAGTCAGAGAGAGAGGGAGACACAGAATCGGAAACAGGCTCCAGGCTCTGAGCTGTCAGCACAGAGCCTGATGCAGGCCTCGAACCCACGATCTGTGAGACCGTGACCTGAGACGAAGTCGGACACTTACCCGACTGAGCCACGCAGGCGCCCCTTGAACTGTATTTTAAAAAGGTTGTGCTTGGTAGTGGGACTGGTAGAGCAGTTAAGAAACAATTTTGTGTTTAATGTATATTAGGAAACTGTACAGATTCTATGAGGAACAGAGATCTCACTGTGGCGAAGGAAGATACAAATAGGAAATGGAGGGAAAGATGAACCAGATTGTTAGATTAGGCTTCGTGGTAACAGGATAAACTCCTAACTTCAGTAAAGCTCGATCTCCTGGCTCCGAGAACTGATAGAGCCTAGAAACCATAACTCCAGTAGCCTCGGGCACACCTAGCACCCAAATATTGTTTCTAAATTCATCTCCCACTGAGAGGAACAAGAGAGCCGAATGATTACCAGCTGAGGCTGAAAAGGTACAAAATGACTCCAGAACATCTTTCTATGCCAGAAAGTAGGAGGTGCTCAAAAACTGGTAGAAACTTGGCAGAGAACACTCAAGTACACTGGGGTTCCCATCTGCCAAATTCTAGGTACCTGGGCTTCAAGATAGATAATGACAAGAATGTTATCTTAAAAAATATCCATGAGTCTACACTTATACTAAAAAAAAAAAAATTAAAAAGCTCTTTGTTACTGAGGAGTGTCAATGATATATAAGAAATTAGAGATAGAAAACTGCCATTACAAATATCTTTTTAATTTTTAAAAAATGTTTATTTTTGAGAGAGACACAGAGTGCAAGTGGGGGAGGGACAGAGAGAGAGAGAGAGGGAGACACAGAATCTGAAGCAGCTCCAGGCTCTGAGCTGTCAGCACAGAGCCCGATGCGGGGGCTCAAACTTACAAACCATGAGATCATGACCTGAGCCAAAGTCGGACACTCAACTGACTGAGCCACCCAGGTGCCCTGCCATCTACAAACATTTTAATGGACTTGGGGAAGAATCACCACTGGATGCTGACACATCAGGTAAAAGATTGCTGCAGAACAGGATAGTTGCACAATCTCTAAGTGTCACTGGATAAATCACATATTATTTACAAAGGGGAACAGGTGCCTCTGAAAAGGAGAAATCTGGTGGGTCACTTTCACCAAATACCCAAAGGTCTCCACCAATGAGACAGATGGCCTACATCTGCTCCCTAATGAGAAGCATGGGAGACACAGCACACCTGTGCAACATTCCTGAACGTTTCACCAGAATCTAATCATGAGGCAACAGAGGAGCCAGATCCAGGGACGTTCTGTGAAACTGGTCCAGACCCTCTGAAAGTGGTGATGTCATAAAGTACACCCAGAAAAAGAAGAGTTGCCAAGTTTTAGATGAAAGGGAGTTGGGGCACTTGGGTGGCACAGGCAGTTAAGCTTCTGACTCTTGATTTCAGCTCGAGCCATGATGTCATGGTTCGTGTGATGAAGACCCGTGTGGGGCTCTGCGCTGACTCCGTGGGGCCTGCTAGGAATTCTCTCTCCCCCTCTCTCTCATGCTCTCGATCGATCTCTCTCTCTCAAAATAAATTATAAAAACATTAAAAATTAAAAAATAAAGGAAGGGGATGAAACAGACATGAGTACCAAATGAAGTATGTGGTCCAGGATTGGCCTCTGGACTCTTGCAGAAAACAGTACCGTGTCAATGGTGTATTTCCTGACTTCTGGTTCCACGCCTTTCTGGAGACCCTGTTCTTCCAAGACACATGTTGACCTATTAGGGGTGAGGTGTCAAAAGATCTTCAACTCTCAAATGTTTAGACAAAAAAATTAAGTGTGCATGTACAGTGACAGGGAGAAGTGAACCACATGTGTCAAAATGTTAATAACTGGTGACTCCAGAAGAAGAGGGTGGAAGTGTTCATTATGCTATTTTTTGGCAACTACTCTACAGATTTTTAATGTTCCAAAGTTTAGAAATGTGAGCCACACCCATTCTCCTTTTCTTTGCGCTACAAATCTCTGGTGTCAATGTTTGCTTTACCACCACTCTACATCTACTTTTTTTAAAAAATGTTTTATTTATTTCTGAGAGAGAGAGAGAGAGAGCATGAACAGAGGAGGGTCAGAGAGAGAGAGGGAGACACAGAATCCGAAACAGGCTCCAGGCTCTGGGCTAGCTGTCAGCACAGAGCCCCACGCGGGGCTCGAACCCACGCACCACGAGATCATGGCCTGAGCCGAAGCCGGATGCTTAACTGACTGAGCCCCCCTCCACATCTACATCTTTACTCATTTATTTCACGTACTGTCTCTCCCCCCCACTGCAATAACATAAGTTTCACAAAGGCAGGGAAGTCTGTCCTTTGTTGCCACCCCACTCCCTTGCAAGGTGCCCAACACCACGCGCAGCCAGAATTTGTTCAGCGACTGACGTTCAGTCATTCTATGAAGCTCACGCTATTCTTACCCTCCCTCGCCACTGAGTGGTGTTCTCTTGCTTTGAGGGCAAAGACAGTGAGGCAAGAAGTTATGGAATGTACAAACCGTGTAACTCAGGTGAGGGCCAGGGCAGGAAGCAGAGCATCTGACTGGAGGGCTGATGCTCTTTTTTAATTTAATGTGTTTTTTTTTTTTTTTTGAGAGAGAGAGAGAGAGAGCAAGGAAGCGGGGGGGGGGGGGGGGTTGGCAGAGGATCTGAAGCGGGCTCTGCGCTGACAGCAGAGAGCCCAATGTGAACTCAACCCACGAACTGTGAAATCACGACCTGAGCTGAAGTCTGACGCTTAACCGACTGATGCTCTCAATCACCGTTGGGCTGCTTCCCACGGAGTCAGATTCCGCCTGTATGTGTGTCTCCCGGTTCCCCACGGCCACCAGCACAGGAAGGCCTCCAAGCTCTCGGGGCCCTGGGATGGCATCTGCCCCACCTCCACGGCCTCCCAGCTGCAACCCTTCCAGCTTATCACACCCAAGCACATGGTCCCGAATCTGCCAGGCCCAGAAACCACTCTCCTTTGCCTGCCAAGTTGTCTTTTCCATCTTTTGGAATCCTTTCCCACATCATCGCGTGTCCACGCACCACACATCCCGCTGGCTGGGTTCAAACACCCTCCGGACCCTGCAGTGCTTGCTTGGCAAGAGACCTGCCTTCGCCAAAGGCCTCGTCTCTGCCCTGTGCCTGCGGCAGCACCCTGTGCTCACAGGCCTGTCTTACGTTCCTCCGGACCGAAGACACTTTAGAGCTCTCCCAGTCCCTCCTAGCCGCATGTGCCCCCAGGCACTCCGTGGAAGCTGAGTGTGGGTGGAATGGGGATGGAAGACTGATCTCTGGTCTATGCAAACGGACCTCCAGGGGCAAACCCTCACGGAAAGAAAAACTAGCTGCGGGTTTATAAATACGCTCCGGGGCCTTGGCTCTCGCTGTGTGTAGGGGTTTGCTGAGGTGGGGACGCATCTGAAGACAGATAACTTATTTCTCGGGGCTGTGAATCTGGCTGCAGAAGCGGGAGAAGGAGGACGGCGGTTCCTTTACGTTTTCAGACGCGAGGAAGGAGCACAGGCCTCCGGGAGTGAGGCCATCGCCCACTCGGACGCTCCTCTGGGCCCGTCCCCGGCCCGGCCCGGCACCCCGCCGGCGGCAGTGCCAGTCTGAGCAGGGGGGGCTGCCGGGGCCCCGGGCGGCCGAGCTCGCTCGCGCCCCCTCCCCCGCCGGGATCAGCGGGGTTCCTCCGCCCGCAAGTGGAAGGCGCCGCCCGCCCCGTCCCGAAAGAGCTCAGAGGCTGCGGAAGCAGTGAAAGGGCAGCCCGAGTTCTCTTGAAGCTCCCCGGGTAGGGAAGGGCCGCAAGTGACTTAGCAGTCACTGAAACTTTCACAAGGCACACCCTTCCGGAGTAACAGAGTCGGGAGGTGACAGGGCTGGGGTGGGGTGGGGGGTGCGGAGGTCCGAGGGGTCTTAGAGCAAACTACACCGAAGAAGTGAGCGAGCTGGAGTCCGGTCCCTCCTCCCAGCCAGGACTCCGGTGCCTGAGGTCAAAGTTGCTTCCAGGCTACCCACGGGAGACGTGCTGACGACGGGACAAGCCTCTCCGCCCGCAGCGTTTCCCCCGCTCCCCAGCCCAAGCTGCGGCCGCCTCGGCCCCGCCCGTCCGCTCGGCCCCGTAGCCCGGGGCACCCCCGGCACCTCCGGCGCCGCCCAGTCCCCGCCGGGCCCGGGGGAGGCCGCCACTCACCCAAGTAGAGCACCAGGCAGGCCACACAGAGACTCCCCGCAGCCAAGCACCCAGCACTCCCTGCGGCCATGGCTCCTCCGGCGGCCTCTACGCCGGGACTGGGCCAGGGTCCTCGGCAAGTTCTAGCGCAGCTCCGCCAGGCCCCACTTCCCCCGACCCGTCTTGTCCCGTCTCTGCGCTGGCCCCGCCCGCTCTTTCCATGGCCCCGCCCGCCCCCTCGCTGGCCTCTCCCTGAGCCGCCTCGTCGCTGGCCCCGCCCCACCCCGCCCGCCCTCTCGCTGGCCCCGCCCCACCCCGCACGTCTCCTCGCTGGCCCCGCCCCACCCCGCACGTCTCCTCGCTGGCCCCGCCCCACTCCGCCCGCCCTCTCGCGGGCCCCCACCCGCCGGTAAGCTCAGCGGGACCCTTGGCTCCCCCGCTTCTTTTTTTCCCTTTTTTCTTTTATAGTTTATTGTCAAGTTGGTTTCCATATAACACCCAGTGCTCATCCCAACAACTGCCCTCCTCTGTGCCCATCCCTTCTTCCCCTTTTCCCGACACCCCCTCAGCCCTCAGCTTGTTCTCAGTTTTCAAGAGTCTCTCATGGTTTGCCTCCCTCCCTCTCCCCAACCATTTTCCCTTTTCTTCTCCCCCTTGTTCCTCCGTTAAGTTCCTCCTAATCCTCCTATAGGTGCAAACATATGATATTTGTCCTTCTCTGCTTGACTTATTTCGCTCAGCATAACACCCTCAAGGTCCATCCACGTTGCTACACATGGCCAGATTTCATTGTTTCTCATTGCCATGTAGTATTCCATGGTATAGATAAACCACATCTTGATCCATTCATCCGTTGATGGACACTTAGGCTGTTTCCATGTTTTGGCTACTGTTGAGAGTGCTGCTATGAACACTGGGGTACATGTGCCCCTATGCTTCAGCACTCCTGTATCCCTTGGGTAAATTTCTAGCAGTGCTATTGCTGGGTCATAGGGGAGTTCTATTGTGAATTTTTTGAGGCACTTCCACACTGTTTTCCAGAGAGGCTGCACCAGTTTACATTCCCACCAACAGTGTAGGAGGGTGCCCGTGTCTCCACATCCTCGCCAGCATCTAGAGTCTCCTGAGTGTCCTGGGCTCTCTCCTGCTTCTAACTAGGCTGCTTCCTTCCCGGTCCAGTCCGGCACCGCCCCGCCACACTAGCACCCTGCTTCCGCTCCAGACGCAGTCCTGCCCCCGCCCTGTCCCCAAAGTCGTTCCACCGCCTCGCAGATCTGCCCTGTGGAGCTCTCTCTTCATGGTGCCTTGCGTTTTAAAAACCAGGCTTGTTCCTCCTCCTCCAGCACTTTCCCTGGAGTTTGGGACGAGTCGGACGCACGTGTCGGCAAGTGGGGGGAGGGGGAGCTGCGCACCGCCCGGCTGGCCCCTGCGGTGACCTGGGACTGGGGGGCTCCCAGGCACTCCGTTCCTTCAGCGCTTTCCAAGGGCAGAGCGCGGGGCTCGCCTTTCCTGCGCGTCACCGTCCGTGCACATTAAAACAAAAGGAAACGGTTTGGACACCTTTTAGGATGTGCGGGTTACCTGGTGCCGCTGGCCCGCCTATCTGAGCCACCTTTTCCTGAAGCCTGGCCCTGAAACCCAGCACTCCCTTCCTCAGGAGCTGGGACTTTTAGCCCTGGGTTTCTTCCTTCTCAGTTTCCTCTTTGTTTTCCTCTTCCTCCTTCTCAACTGTGGACTTCCCCTAGGCTGAGGAGTCAGGTGTGGAGGGTCCCCTCATTGTGTGACCTCCTCCCAAAACCTCCTGCCCGAGCTGCAGCGGGCATCTGGAATGCTCCATCCGCATGAGTAGGCTTCCTGATGGCCTTGCCCTGTCTGCAGTCTGTCCGACCGAAGACCAAACCCCTCTGCTCCCAGAACCAGCTCCTCGAGGTGGCCTCCTTTGTCCGCACAGGCCTCGCCTCTGCCCGGTGGGAGTCAAAGGAAATCTAAGTTCCACCGGAACCGGAAGTTCTTCCTGCGAACAGGACTCCCTGCTGTCCTAAGAGGCACTAACATGTCACTTGGGAAACTGAGTGGGAATGTGCTTCCTTGTGATGTCATATCCATCATCCTCAAGTGAGGATCCCAGACCCACTCAAAACACTTGAACTGTAAGACCTCCTTGGTCGTTAAATCAGCCATAGCATCTTAAAGGGCATCTCTATCAGTGAAATTTCTGGGACCAATGTCACATACCGTGAAGCAGGCCAGCTTAAGACATCCCCTACTGAGAACATGGGACAGGGACGGTGCATAGCACAAAATGTGAGAAAATCAAGTTCTTGCTCTGCCCCTGGTTGGTAGGAACTCGGATCAACTGGGAAAGTGAGGGTAGGGTCAAACTTTTAGACACTGCAGAGCCCCTGAGAGTTTCCGAACTAAGAAGTGATCCTAGCAAACATCCACCGAGTCTTACTAAGTGAGGCCCTGGGTTAAGTGCATTACCTGAATTACTTTTATCTTCTTGCTGTCCCTAGTTTCACAGAGGAGGAAACGGAGGCTCAGAGAAGGTAAATGACTTGTCCGAGAACAAACAGTAAGGGGCAGAACTGGGAGTCCAACTAAAGCGAAATCCAAGGGGGGCCTGGGTGGCTCAGTCAGTTAAGCGTCCCACTTCGGCTGAGGTCGTGATCTCATGGTTCCTGGGTTGGAGCCCTGCATCAGGCTCTGTGCAGACAGCTCAGAGCCTGGAGTCTGCTTCAGATTGTGTCTCCCTGCTCATGCTCTCTCTCTCAAAAATAAACATTAAATTTTTTTTAAAAAATAAAGTGAAATCCAAATCACCACTCTCGCCATTTCACAGAAGAACAGGTGCAACTTCCCAATAGGCAGCCATGGACTGGCTTGGACTGGCCAGCAGGAGCCATAAACCTCCTCAAGATCAGGGCTGAGGGAAGGCCTGCCCAGTCACCTGGGGCTGGGAAGTATGTCTCAGGTCATGGTCTCCAGCCTTTGGGTGAGATATGATTCATTAGGTCTTTGGTTGGATGCGCCTCTGACCGAGACCGACAAGCAGTGCCAGCTTTTTTATTAAGAGATATGCTGTGCTCCTATCAAGCATTTTTAAAAGAGCTTATATGTATCCCTAGCAGACTTCATGAATCAAAAGTGGCTCCGAAAGGTAGACCTGATTTAGGCAATGGGCCAAAAAGGCTCAATTCACATACTGAGGACTCACCATCAAAAGGAGAGTGCATCTATTTTTCACCCTGTGGCCGGTATCAAGAGGTCCTGTTTTATCAGCTTGTCGTGTGGATGATCATGAACTAGAGGTAAGAAAGGAGGGCTCATTCAGTCCCTCTCTGGGACTGTGGATCTAGTTGTTGCCAAACTTGTAACTGCTCCCCAGGAAGCTTAGAAATTCCAGAATGCACTGAGCAAAACACTGCTCCGAATCCTGCATCCATGAACTTCTCCCTGCCTCTTGCGGAAGTGTCCGTTCACTTCCCTTATGTAGACACTGGGCAGATTTGCACCAAAGGCGTAGAGGGGTAATCTTCTTCCATAATACTCTATTTCCCTTTTTAAAATGTTCCCTGGCAGAAAGAGAGCATTGGGGGGGGGGGGGGATGAGGCAAAAATAATATGTAAAGCTTAACGTGGAACTATTCTGGATACGCAAGGGATAAACAATCACATTTCAACTCCTGGCCAAGCCAGCAGCTGCACGAAGTTGATAAGGATGCAGCAGATGGGGCTGCGGAGCAGGGGAAAGCACTCATTCAAGCCCTGGAAAGGTTTGAGTTTTAAAAAGAAGAAACAGAAAAGGAAGCGCCTCCCTCTGCTTTTTACCCCCTCTCTAGTCTCTTGCATATTCAGTGCAGTGTAAAGAATTACAGATGGGTTCTGCCTAATCATATATCGCTGCTGTGGTTTTAATCATTCTGTCATTCTCGCTTTGCAGAAGTGGTGAAAGCCTCCAAAACATCCCAGCATTCCAGGTGTGCAGGGAACAGGGACTGGGGTGTTGTGCCTGGAGGCACAGCTCTGTCCTCTGTCCTGGAAAACGTGGGCTGACAATTTCACAGGTCAGGACAGGGCTACATTGTCGAAGAGAGATGGTGTGGTCCTGCTTCAGAGGCCCTCCATAGCCAAGGAGAAGGGTGTTCCCCCTTCCTATTCTTCTCCATCAGCCTCCTCCCACCCCATCCTGTCCCACCCCGCTAAAAAGGAAGGCTAGGCTTAGAAGCTCTACATTCTGAACCTGCCTATCTGGGCTCTGGGTGTGTTGTGTGCTGCACTGATCTAGAGGCCGCGGAGCCTTGACAGTGAGGGTAGTTGTGTTCATTTATTAGGATACATTTTCAGCAGATGGCAGCCAACTGCCTGGAGAAAGGATTTTTTGCTTTGTTTTAAATCATCATTTGTACAAAGGCACGCTTTAGGTTGGGAGCAGACTATGGTGATAAAGGCTGCGATTCTTGAGTCTTGAGCCTAGCAGGCCAAAGTCAGGGGCAGAACTCCAGGCCCCCAGGACACAGTTTCACAGAGCTAGAGAGGCTGGTTAAGGGGGTGGGGGGTGTGAGGGAGGGGGGGAAGAAAGAAGGACAGCGAACTCCAGTAACTGTAAACAGCCATATTTTCAACATAATTTACTACAGGTCTCTGAAGTGTATATAAAACATTTTAGTGCAACATTTTACAAAGAGTTTTCCTTTAAAAAAACAAACAAAAACCAATCAACAGCTCTCTACATCATGCACGGGTAGTTTTCTTACCCCATCTGTTTTTTTCAACGATAAACGCAGAGAAACCATTGTTTGAAAAGAATGTGAAAACCTGCTACAGCAGCACCCTGATGAAAGAGGGTGTGGTCATATCCATGTCTTGGAATGGGCCTCGCACAGTGTACTTTTTTGCCAATGCAACATTGTAGCCGTTGGTAAGTCCAGAGAACCAGTTGGCAGTTTTCCTCTCCTGGTCCAGCGCCCCCCTCTCCCCCACCCCCCCAGATCCAGCTGGACATGTGCGATGAGGTCTCCCAGCCACTGGAGGGCACCATTACCCCTCATCTGACACCACATTTCCATAGAAATGGCCAAAGGAGGTGGGGGGAGTGGGATCTGAAAAGCTCACCCTTTGATGTTATCCCCCAGCCCAACAGAAAAATACACAGGGGGAAAAAATTACTAAAATACTGGCTTCGGGTTCTTTTCTTCCTTTCAAACTTCTTGCAACCGCTTCACCTATTTAATTGCGTGCATTATCTACTTTTCTATACCTGGGAGCAAGCTCTGCTTGCAGGAGTCACACACTCCGTTCTGCCCCACCCCCAACCCCACCCCGTGTGTTTCCCTTCAGGCCGAGGAAAGTCTCAGTCATCTTCCCTCACTGGCTTGGGCCACAAGACAGGGGCCAGGTGCCCACAGCAAGCCCAGGCGCCTGAAATGAAGAAATGGGGCAAAGGACTGCCTTCTCCCCTTGCCCCTGGGCCGACTGACCCACCCCTGCAAAGCGTGGCTGCAGCACACATGGTAAATGGAAATGAGCATGTTGGGGATGGAGGTGTCTGTGCCTACACAGGGGCTCACAGGACAGCACGCTCATGGGCAGGTCTACATAAGCCTGGGGTCACCTTGCATCACCTCGGCTGTCGCACACCTCGGCTGTCGCACAGCAAAGCATCTGTACATGCAGGGCACCCCCAGCACCCCCAGCATGGCCTCCCCCATGGAGTCTGTTCCGCCTCAGAACAGACAACCCTTCTGCTTCGACCTCGCTCTGGAATCCCTGGTGGCTTTTTCTAAACAAGTTGTCCCCTTGGGATTCAAGATGCGAGTTCCCAGAAGAACAGAGGTGGCACTCTTGGCCAGCAAAATATAGGAGAGCCAGGGCACCCACACTTCTCCCATGGGGTGAGCAATGGGGCTGGCGGTGGGGGCGGGGGGGCTGAACGTCTTGCTCACAGCATAAACGAACAGGGCGACCCTGGCCTTGTTGGGCTTCAATGGGCATCCGAACAAACAGCCACTATAACCATGAACAACCAAGTCACCTACCATCACACACAAGATCTAGGAAGGGGAATGGCAAAAGCCCACACTGGCACATGGGGACTTTCCGCTGAGACCAGGCGGTCTGCAAGGGTGAGAGAGGGCTGTGTCTAGACCTCTCCCAGAGACATATTCTGACGGCAGTGAGACACTTGGGGAGAGAAAGGGTGAGTAAGAAGGATGTCGTTGCCTTTGAGGGAAATCTAGTTGGGAGGAATAAGAAAAGCCCAAGTCTTCGCATCTCCAGGGTGGCAGCGATTTCTGCCCTGGTCTCCGACTTCCAGACTCTGGAAACTGCTGCCCTCCCTGTGCTGGCTGACCCCTGGGGGAACTCAGGGTTGCCCGGCCCCGTGCCCTCAGGCGTACAGTGACTGCAAGTGGGCCCTGCGTGTTGAGCTCAGCACCGCCCCCTTTCCAGGCTCCCTGGCCGCTTCCCATGAAGAGTTTGGCAAAGCACCTTGAAATAGAAGCCCACCCGCTCACAGTTACCAGCTTGGGGCTGCGCCCGCGAAATACATCAGGCCATCAACTAGCCTGTTTCCTTCCGCCACTGATCCTTAGCTTTGATCTGAAAGTCAGCAGCCGCGATGGCAAAAGTGTGTGCTGTTCGGGGCTTTCGCTTGTTCTCCGACAGAGTTCTGGGCTTTTTAAAAATTTTTTTTATTTTTGTAAATTTTTTTGGCAAGGTTGGCATGAAGCCCGTGTCTCTGCCTCCCCGACAATGTGGTCGGGCTCCGTCTATCGAATGGGGTTACACAGGCTCCCCCTGTACGTACAAAGTTCTTTGAGGCGAAATTCAACGCTTTCATCTCGACTACAAAGCGGTTCCAACAACTCTGGCTGCGGGAAAAGACAAGATACAAATTGGGCCCACGTGACGCGTAATTTTCAAGTCTCGTTAAGAAAGTAGAAAATGTTTGGGTGTTTCTGATCCATGGGGGGCATTTTCAAGTATGCAGAAACGAGGGGGCCTGGAAGCGATTCCTTGGCACCAAAGAGTTCCCCTCCCTTGTGCCATCGGCGGGGTGTTACGGGACACCCGTTCGCCACGTTACGGAATCCAAACGGTGAGCCGAAGGGACCTGAAAAGAGCCCCTTACAAAGACTAAGAACCCCTGTCACATCCATCTGAGAATACAATATAAATTCAGCGAGTAGATGTGACATCTGGAGCTACTCACTACGTTATCAAAAACGAAAACGAGAAGCCTAACTGCAGGATAAAGACATCATCTGCTTCAAGACAGCTATAACCAGCCACGACTGCCACCTAGAGGCAGTCCGTCTCTGTGACGACCCGGGACTGGAGAGGAGTCTCTAGTCTGGCTGTTCTGCGCCCAGAGAACACTCCGGAGTCACGGCGGCGTTGCCCGCCCGCCGTCCGATCACAGAGCAAGAGGCAGGAAGGGAGCGCGTCAGCTCCTCTGCAGCTGACGTCCGCGACGGTCCCCTTAGTCTATGGCTCCCGGGTGGATACTGAGCACAGGGGGCTCCAGGCATGTGGGGGAGTAGTTGAGGTGCGGCTCTTTGATCCACAGCAGGGGCACCCCGTTCTTCCCGTCGGAACTCTTGCTGGAGTTCCGGCTCTTGAAGCGCACCAGCAGGATGGTGATGATGAGGATGCCGAAGATGGGGAAAGGGTAGAAGAAGACGAAGTAGAAGAGCGCGTCGTTGGAACAGATGACAGACTGCAGGCTGGAACCTGAAACGGAGGGCAGACCGTGAGGGCAGGGAGCCTGGACGGCAGCCTTGGCTCAGCCTACCTGAAATGCTACCCCCACCCTGTCCTTCCTTGATGCTGCTACAAGTGGGGACCCCCTTGTCGCCTTGTTCTCACAGCAGCACCCCTCAGGTCACGGCCGGAAGTTCATACAAGGCAATGCCCCCGTGTCCCACCAGGACCCAGTACCGTGGCCGTGAAAGCCACGTGACGAAATGGAGTCTAGTGACCGTGAGCCCAGCTACATCTAGATGAGGAAGCTGCCTCCACAGAGACCCGCACCTCCTGCCAGGTGGTGCCTCCCACGCCCCTCTGCACCGAGCTCTGTGCCGAGCTCTGCGCCGAGGGTCCTTCTCTGGGATGTAACACATTTGCTCCCTGCCAGCTTCTCAGAGCAGGTTTATCAGAAATGACGCTTACTTGAGTAACGTTAGCATTGACTCACGGTATCAACTGAAATGCCATTACGGACCATTCGCACGTGTCCGCAGGCATGTCTGTGGCTGCGTAGAGTTCAGTGCTAGTCATTCCTGGATACAGAAGAGGGTGAAAACTGGCCCCCTACGCCCCACGCCCCAGACCCACAAGGCCTGAGCAGGGGCCCAAACCCTGGAAGCCTGCATTTTCTCTGGAAAATCAGGCTGCTGGCTGACCTCCATGTTCCATGACTTAATAAATAGGGGCATCTGCAGCGGGCAGATGGGTCTAAACACCTTCCCCTGTACTTTTGGGTCCTCCAGGAGATCGTCAGGGGTCTGAGTCGGATGTAGGCTTTTCTCTGCAGTCTTTTCTACTGCACAGCTGTCGCCATCAGTATGATTAAGAAAACTCAAAACCCACTTCTGACTTCGCAAAATCTCAATTTCATGTGGTTGTGTCTAATCAACAGGAGGGAGTCAAAGAAAAGAGAAGGCTGACAAGGCTCAAACATTCCAATCAAAATCACCTGGTAAAATGTTCTACAGTTTCTAGCAGAATCTAGCAGATGTTGCCTCTCTGCGTTCCAGGCTAATTCTACTGTAACAAACACCACCTCCGGTGGGCTGTGCCCTCCCACCCTTTGGCAAAAGGCAACTGACAGAGACCCCCGTTAGAGCAAGGTATTCAGGTCAGCCATTATTTCCTCCGGTCTCTTCCCACGGAGGGCCATGACCCGGTGGGAAGTCTGCGTTCTCTGGACTAAGAGAGCTCGTGGGCAGGTCCTTCCAGACGCCCTGCGGCATCACTGCCCTTCTAGCTGGTTTTCCCCACAGACCGTGCAACGTCACCTGAACCTCAAAGTCAGCCTCCAAGATACACATGAGCCGAGAACAGTAACTGTGTTCAGGCTTCGTTTCTCTCCTCGGGAGTCTGAAACATGGTAGCTGGCTACGGAGGGACATGGTAACACCTAACAGTACACTTGGATAACGAACGCTCACTGAAGTAGAACCTGGTGGAACATCAAGGTGACTGCCGCATGTTGTGACCTTAATTCCTACCCACATGGGCAGTCAAGGGTCAAGTATAGGAACCGGTGTGTCAAGGCTGAGATGCCGGGCACAGGTGGGAAAACTGCTTATTGAGCCAGAGTCAGAGTCACGCTCTGATTTCATTCTTCCAGACCGCTGGGCTCAACGGGGACACCATCCCCTGTAACCGGGGGACCACTCACTTGTGTCCAGGACGCGGATGCCGATGGGGGCCGACTCCTCCTCCGTCAGCCGGTACCACTCCTTCTGAGGGCTGGGCAGCCACTCCTCCACACGGCACGAGTAGTTCCCCGTGTCACGGGGGCTCGCGTGCAGCACGGTGAGCCGGTAGAGCAAGGGCGACAGCCTCTGGAAGCGAAGCCGGCCCTCCCAGGGGCCGCCTTCTGGGCCGAAGACGGCATCTGGGCCCACGCTCAGCAGGGCCGTCCGCTCTGTGAGGTCCTCTCCTTCCTCCTCGTCGCCCCCGTCCCCCTCCTCCTGCTCTCCCAGGCCAGGCCCGTCCCTCTCCCCTCCGGCTTTAGTCCTCAGAGAGTACCAGGCCACGGCAAAGCGCGAGTCCTGACTTGATCGAGACACGATGCTGCAGTCGAGCTGGAAGGCCGCCTTCTCAGACACCGTGGCATTGGGGACCACCGTGTCCACCTGCAGGGCGGCGTCTGGGGGAGGCGAGGGGCAAAAGAGGCAGAAAAGCGTGTTTTAATTTCTCTGCTCCAAACAACCCGCGTGTCCCTCCCTAAGTATATTCCAGTACTATGGGGATATAGGATACACCCGTTGGGGGGAGTAAGGTAGGTCCTATGTGGCAGAAACGTGCAAGGAATCGGGAAAGACTGCCTGGGTACAGAAGAGCTGTGCACCCCGGCGCCACTGTATGCGGCAGACAGTATGTTTTATTTGGACACGTGGATTTGTTTACTTTTGCAGAAAATATCTGCGGAAGAATTCACGAGAGGTGGGTAAACGTGGCCGCTAATGGGAATCCGGGGAGGAAGGGACACTTCCTTTCACTGTAACCTCTTGCAGTGGCGGAAGGGTCCCTCCCGCCCAAGATGCACACCCACCTAGAAGCTGACAATGTGACCTTAATCAGAAATAAGGTCTTTGCAGGTGTAATGAATGCATACCGGGTTGAGGGTGGGCCCTACGTGCAGTGACCAGTGTCCTGAGGAGAAGGGGTGGGGGACACATGGAGAGAAGTCCATGCGAACACAAGGTGGAGACCGGGGCAATGCAGCCATGAGCCGGGGGACACTTGGGACCACAGAGAAGGTGGAAGAGGCAAGCTAGAAACTTTGGGGGTGGCCTGGTCCTGCTGACAATCTGCTCCTAGGCCTCCAGCCTCCACAACCGCTGTGCAATCCGTTTTTGTTGTTTTAAACCACCAAGTTTGCACTAGTTTGTGATGGCAAGCCTGGATGATGGATTTGCCCTTCAGCGGTTCTGGAGTTTAAACTGTGTGCATGCAGACAACCGATGCCCCAGGGAACCCGAGGAGGGAAGTATTCTCCACGGACTGAAGCCTAGCCACAGACAACAGACCTGGAAGGGGCCCTCGCCTTGAGCACCGACCGCCTTGAGGACGGACAGCATCTCCCAACAGAGATGGGAGAGACACAGAGCAGCCACAGAGAGGTCCCCAAGCAGGTGAGTCAGCCTTCGCAGACACCACTGGGCAGCTAGAATCTCTTCCTTTGCTTTGCTGCGCCCCCCTTTTTTGGCTCTCCGGGCCAGATCCTCAACAAATAATCCATTCCCTACCTCCTAACCGGCCTGTTTGGCTCTGCTTAGGAAGTGCTCAAAAAAGATGCTAACGTAACAGCAACAAAAGTAAAGATGCCAACTCGGATTCTGCTTGGATGGAGATCAACGAGGAGCGCTTCCCAAGTACTGTCCTAGGCTTTCAATGCACTGGCCTGATGCTGCTCACAGGTGATCACAAAGGTGTGGTGCCCCCACCTTTGTGGGGCCCTGCCAAGGCCCTGCACCCCCCCATCCGGAATCTGGGTGTGTATCGCTGGCACTGAGAACTCAGGACCTGGGTACTGGCGGGGGGAAGGGTGCCTCGGCCCGGCACCCATGGGGGAGAATGCCCCGGGAGGCAAGATGGCGGCAGGGGGAGAATATCCCATCAGAGACAACTCCCACTCCCTCGAGTGTCGGCTTATCCTTCCAGGTCAGGGAGGACTGTAACCCCCAAGGCATCGGAGAGAAATACTGCAGGTTAAGGGGCAGCCAAGGGCACCTTCGTCCTGCACAGCCTACCGAGCTGCGTCCTAAAGCTACCAGCGGCTGACCACCGGGGTCCAATGCACCCACATGGCAAGATGGCAGAGACCACTGGACATGCAGCTCCCCAGAAGGGCCTCTTCCCCACCTTCTCTCCCTTTGCTTTCCTCTCATCTGAATGCTAACAACATAAACGTTTAAATTTTTAAGTTTATTTATTTTGAAAAAGAGAGTGAGAGAGAGAGAGAGCCTCAGCGGGGGAGGAGCAGACAAAGAGAGGGAGGGAGAGAATCCCAAGCAGGCTCCGCACTGCACAGGGGTCTGAATTCAAGAACCGTGAGATCATGACCTGACTGAAACCAAGAACTGGTCGCTTAACCGACTGAGCCCCCCAGGCGCCCTGGCATTTACATTTTCATGTAAATGTCCTGGCCCCTTCGCGTGCCTGGTGATGGCTCAATGCACGTGTTTCGAAGGAAACCCATGCCCACTTGCCATGCCCTCCCCTCCTCCCTCTAACACGACTGTCTACCAATTTGCCCGTGTCTGTCCCCTTCTAGGAGAGGCCAAGCCGTCTCCCTGTGTGGACTTCAGCCTCTGCCCGTACGTAAGGCTGGAAGGTGGCAGACGGTCCAGAAACGTCTGTCCTCCATGCCACCTGGAGCCCTGGTGTGGTCACGTGAGAATGGGTGAGTGCTAGGAAGAAGGGCGCCCCAATGCTGCGCCTCTACAAATGTACCTTCGTAAGAAGACATGCAGCTGTTTCCACGCCAGGTGGAAAGAAAAACAGAAAAGCTCGTGGGAAATGAGTAATTCGACACAGAGGTGATTTCTCGTCTAGCTTGGGCAAGACGCAGAGCGGTGAGGTAATGCCCTTTGCTATAACGAAGGGCACAGTCTCTCCTGAAGTGGTTCCGTGACCACGGGGCGGGCACAGCTGTGAGGGCCCGGTGCCCTGCCGACCCGGAGCGCCACTCTACTGAGACGCGGGAACGCGACGAATGTGCCCAACAGACGGCGAACAGGAACAAGACCGAGCACTCACACAGGCCACAGAGTTCATTCCTGCCCACGTCCTCTGGGAGCGGGGGGCAGGGGGGACAGACTTTTCGCTCTGATTTGGATAAACGAGGAGGTGATGTTGCAGAGGACACAGGAATCCTGCTCACCTCTGCTTTCAGGAGGGGTTTGAATGTGTAGCCAGAATTACACTGAGGAATTACGTGCACGTAGGCACTTTGGGAACATAAATAAGGACGAGGGAAGCCACACAGAATAGCCATCAACACCAACACAGCGATTGGGAAGTGAGACGCTGAATTTCATCCTTTTCTAGCTAAAGCACATGCATCAACTCCTTTCCACTGACGACCTACGAGCTTCAGCTTTTGAGCCGTGTGGCTACTGGTTCAAAAGTTTTGCATATCCGCCGCCTCCTGAATGCGAATGTATTCTTTAAAAAGAAACTCTTCTACGTTCTGAAATAAGTGAAAAACGTTACTCGAGTCAAGAAACAGGATCACCTGGGGCCGAAGCCAGATGTGCAACTTCCCATTCATGGGGGCGGTGGGATCTGAGTCAGCTGTAGATGCAAAACGTATGCGCGCATATATTTAGCTGCAAGCGATGTATTAATACATGCGTTTTGTGCAGCGCACAAAACCCGGAGCTCACAGGGGGAAGGCCCAAGGTGGTGACGGCCCCAGGGACGTTAACCCTCACCTGGCCGTGTGACGGTGACGGCCATCTGGCCAGCAGTGTCCTCGGCCCGCTTGTACCACACGCCACCGGGGCTGGGCAGCCACTCCTCGACGCGGCAGCTGTAGGCCCCGCTGTCCTGCACGGCCACGTTCTGGATAAAGAGGCGGTAGACGCCGGCCGAGGGGCTCTCCAGGTGCAGCCGCCCCCACAGGTTGTTCTTGGCTGCCTGCTCTCCGTAGTGGAAGGTGGCGTCGCGGCTCAGGCGGGCCACGGTCTCCCGCTCCGGGTGGTTGGGTTTCCACACGAACCACTCCACCACGAGCTGGGAGGCCGCGCTGGTGCGGTTCAGGACCACGCACTCCAGCTGCACCTGCTGCGTCTCCAGGACCGACAGGTTCCCCTGCGCTTGGCTGAGCCTCAGGCGGCTGTCTGGAAAGACGGGAAAGGGCATGTGAGCAGCGGGGAGCAACAGGTGCCCGTGAGTGCCCTTCATGAGCACAGGTCAAGGGTGCCCTCCCCTCTCGATGGGCACAACCCCCTTCCCAGGTGGGGCGCCCTCAACACAGCAAGTTCCTGGATCGTGCATCCAGAGGCCCAGACTGCCAGAAGTTCATGGCACAGCTGTCCCCCCAGTGTGGACCTCGCTGATTCGGGGGCACAGAGGAGGGCCAGCATGAGCCTGGGATGACTCCACCTCCGCTGACAGCAGACCATAAGCGTACGGCCCAGAGGGGTGGCTGGGAAGGGACAGGCAGGAAAGGGCATGCTGAGACCCCCTTTCAAGCCAAGAGCACATTTTAAAAAACTGACTGCACGATGGCTAGAATAAGCCGCACTGTCCACCACCAAAGGACCGCAGAGGAAGCAGTTTAAATACGTCCCCGAGTTGGCCTCAGGGACTGTGGTCCTTACTATCTCGGGTTTCCTCTCGAGGTGGGGACAGAACTGATCTGACATCAGTAAAGAAAAGCCCGAAACTGGTGGCACCAAGCGAGTGGACGACTCAGCCGATCAGATCCTCCTCTGCAGAGAGAGTCATCAGTGACGGCACGCCCGGATGACGCGCGTGTCACTTCCTACAAGGTCCTACTGAGTCTGTCTGGACCAGAGGGATCAAACAGCTACAGAACCGCCAAAGCACCCGGAGAAGGACCTTAGGGCCATGCACCATCAGTTCTTACTTTTTACATTTCAAAACGGCCCGAGTATTTTATGACATGAGGCAATACCCTTTGGAACTAAAAGGTCAAAAATTAAGAATAACTGAAAAACTATTTTAAATAACCAGTGTCCTCAGAATATAAACATACACATACGTGTGTGTGTGTGTGTTAACTCTACTTGTCTCTGGGTTGAAAGATTATTTTCTTCTTTGTGTTTTCCAAAAGCTCTAGAAGCATATTTTTTCTCATCAGGAAAAAAAAAAGAGAGAGAGGCAGGGGAGAAGGAGGAGTGGAGTATAGAGAAAGAAGGGGAAACAAGGGAAGAAAAAACAAAGAAACGAAAACTCTCAACCGAAAAGGAGGAACGGGTTGTTTTAATCAGGGTCTTGTGAGTTTTCTATTTATGGCGTGAATCTTCCCCACAGAGATCTCCCTACATGGGTTTTGACAAACACCCTTATTGCCCCAGTAGCTCGCTGTGAGTCTGTAGGCTCAGATGGGGAAATTCCCTCAATAAATTTAGGATCCACTGAGATTCTCTCAGTTTCTGCACAAACAAGTGAAGGCATAGGACGGCACTTCTGGTGGGCGGGGGGAGGGGATCATGTCCTCCCACCAGAGAAAGTGATCAGAACTGAAAACAGACAGGAAGAACAGAAACCTAAAAGAAACCTACGTGGGCCAAATGACAAACGCCAGTTTTCAAAAGCCCCGATGACTGGCCTGGGGTCTCTGGAAACACCAAGAGGGACCGCACAGGCCAGAGCTTCCTCTGCGATACACCAGCAGGCCAGCGTTCCCGAAAGTGCCACCGGGAGGGGGTGACAATTAGCGCTGGGGCAGCCTCAGCAATACAACATCCAGAGGGAAAAGAGGGGGCCAGCCCCACTGCACACAGCTCAGGCCAGGCCACGGCCGGGCCTCTGCATCTGGTCCCTGTGCTGTCTGAACATACGTTTATTGCGGCTTTCTGGGGGACAAGCCAGGGGAACAGAAAGGTAAAGAGTACACGTACACACATACACACACACACACACCCGTATATATAACACATAATGAAGATCTATGGTCAACCTGTTCCAGACTAAGAGAACAGGGACTATGAAGGCCCTGGGCTGTTCCAGGAAAGTAACTATCTGTTCCTTATTCAATCAATATTTATGAAAGGCACCATACTGGCAACTGAAAATATAAACACATAGCCCTGTCCTCAAAGTGCTTAGAGTAGAAAAGAAATGCAAACAAATAATTATGATGCTGGGTATTTTCTAAGGAAAAAGGAACTTCTGGCAATATGGGAGAAAGCAGGGAAGGCTTCCTGGAGGTGATGTTGACTGAAGTCTTGGGGCTGGGGTAGACACTGAAGAAGCGGCAAGAGAGGACAAGCATATAAATAAACAAATGCCCAGAGATGGGACCTGGGGTAGCTCCCCCCGCCTGTCAGGAAAGGCAGGCAGTGACGACAAATTATAGGCCAGGCAGAAATGAGGGATGGAGAGGGAGCTTAAGGTCACATCAGGTAGGGCTGAGAGCCCTTTAACAAGGGGAGAGGGAGCCTGATGGGGGCACCTCTCACATGTGAAAACATATGACCCAATGTCATCCTGGGCTGTTCCAGGGGCAGATCTAAACCTGGAGGGAAATTACACGGAGCGGGTTTTCTGACCGTGAGGGCTACCGCGGCAGTAAGCGCTTCCTCCCCGGAATGTTCCGGCAGAGGTCACATGCCAGCCCCCACCTGTCAGGCTGTGGAATGAGGGGGGCTGCACCCACAGGCTCTGAGAGGAGGCCGAGGGGCGCTCCGCTTTGGAGACGGGGAGGGCTCCTCCCTGAGCTGAAATGGGAGGTAAGACAAAAAGGGGAAGCCGAGGTCGGGGACCAGAAAAGTGCACTCTGGGCCAGAATGCTGGCTACAGAGCTGGCCCAGCCTGAGCTGCAAGGTGCGACCTGCACAACCAGGAGGCCCAGGGGCCGCCAGGGACCCCGCCTCGCCACCTCTTGGTCAGCACATCCGCCCCTCAGGCCTCTTCCTGGTGAGAAGGATGCTGTCCAGAAGAGCAGAGTCAAGGACACTTTCCTGGGTTTGCCCCCGGCACCAAGACACACTGCAGGCAGAGTGGGCAGCCTGTAGTCCGCCAGGATGACTGTCCCCGCACCTGCACCCACATGCAGCGTGGACCCCCCGGAGCCCCATCACCCCCAGGCAGGGCCCGGCACCTGCACCCACACCCAGCGTGGTGGACCCCCGGAGCCCCGTCACCCCCAGGCAGGGCCCTGCACCCGCACCCACACCCAGCGTGGACCTCCGGAGTCCCGTTGGCCCCAGGCAGTCTCCCAGCACTAAACCCCAAGCCGGCCACACCCTCCCCCTACGTCCTCACCTGGCTGCTTCACAGTGACTTCTGTGCGCCCCGAAACCTCCTCGGCCAGCTTGTACCAGGCATAGTTGGGGCTCAGCAGCCACTCCTCCACGTGGCAGTAGTAGCTGCCACTGTCACTGACCTCGGCCCGTTGCACGGTGAGGCTGAACAGGCCCCCGGATGCGTGCCTCTCGAACTGCAGCCTGGGTCTCAGGCCCTCCTCCTCGGCGTAGGTGCCGAACTCGAAGGCGGAGCTGTGCGTGGTTTTCAGGATGAGCTTCCCATCGGCATCCGACGGCTTATGCACGTACCAGAGCACCGCAAAGTGGGAGTTGGGGCTGGTCTGGGACTTGACTGAGCAGTTCAGCTGGATGGGCCTGTTTTCCACCAGGGTGAGGGTCCTCTTCGACTTGCTCACCTGCAGCTTCGTCACTGCAAAGGGGGAGGGGAGGTGTGAGTAGGGTCACCACACACGCCCGTCCAGGAAGGCAGCCCATCCCCAGCCTCACCTGCAGCGGCCGCGGATGAGCTTCCTTAGGAGCAGGGCTCCGTGCGAGGGAGGCTGCACGGAGCCAGTTTTACCCCAGCACCCCTCCACCTGTCTCCTCCCAGCTCCCTCATCGGCACACAGCCTCCAGGGACTGGGCTGAAACTCAGATCTGCCCAATCATCTCCCTGCCTAGGAAGTTCAATGGCTCCCAACTGCTTACAGCTCATAAAGGGGGAAAAAATTCCTTTTCACAGTACCAAGTCCCTCCAGGATCTGGTCTTGCCCAACTGTCCACACTCATCTCCAAGACTCACCCCTCCAGCGCCCCCACCCCCTCCCTGAGCTCTGGTCTCTGCTCAGCGGTCCTCTCTGCTTCTTCCCACCCTCTCCGCCCCACCCCCTGCCCCTTCTGTGCCCTCTCCTTCTGTCTCATCCTACTGGGCCAGCAGCCCCTCTCTGACCTGGCACCAGCATCTTCTTCATATCTTCTGGTATTTTCCACCCTAGCCTCTGCGCGCCCCTTTGGTAGAGATCAATCAAGCTTTTCTCTTCCAGTCTGCAAATATTTAGAGCGTGGTCCTCCTGGTGCTGATAAGTGCTAAGGATACCCTGGGGAACACCACCGGCCTGCCTCGTGGACGTTCCCATCGCTGCACCCCCCAGAGCCTGGCACAGCACGGGGGCTATGGAAAAGCACTCAGTCCACGTCTGCTGGGATATGTGGGGCAGAGCATGTCATAGAAACAGGGTGGCAGGTTGCTGGGGTGAGATCCCTGGGGGCAGAGAGACAGGGGCTGGGCTGAGAAGAGAGCAATGGGACAGAACGGAGCTGACTCCAGCGTCCTTCCCTTCGCCAAAACCAGAAGGGAGGGCAGCGGAGCGCCACCCTACCTGCTAATTCACGACTACGCTCGCATCGGAGGTGGCGGGAAGCCAAGGTCGGATGAAATATAGCCTATGTAGGTCATCCAGGATTATACCCACTCCATCCTTATCACGCTGGGCTCTGCTTCCCCTACCCACCACCCTCAGTACTGGAAACGTTTTCTAAAAAAGAAAAAGATGGAACTCCGACTTACTCCTGGGGCGCAGTCAGTGAAGCATCTTTTCACACCCCAACTCAAATTTCTGAAAACCCCAGACCGTCCCCTGGACGCCCTGGTCATGCACAAACGTTCTGGGTGGCGGAGAGGAGTCAACGAGCGAAGGGATGGCGGGGCCTGAAGCCCAACGCCACTGTGACAAAAGCAACTCTAAGGACAAGTAGCTCAGCGGTGAATCAAGTGGTGCTCTTCGCAAAGGACTGCCGAACTCACCTTCCCACAGACCTTCTCAGGCCATCAAGAAGGCACCAATATGAGAGGAATCCCATGTCCCACGGCCCCCCCTTCTAGTTTCTTCACTCTCTCTCTCTCTTTTTCTTTTTTTGGTGAACGAGCCCAGTCTCCTGCCTTCTCCCTCCTTCAAACACATAGTCCTCCAGGGCACACAGGGCATCTGGGGCAGGATTTACCAGTAATACCAGGAAGCCTCCAAGCTCTGCAAACCAGAGGCACGTGGGCTTTGGCCAGCCATCTTCTCGGATTGGATTCCTACGATCCTCGGAACACCCAGCTCCCTTTTCATTCCTTTCCAGCCCAATTCACCGCATGCAAATGATATCTCTATCAGCACAAATGATACCACCTGAATTATCTGGTGCTTGTCCAAGAAAACTGGGCTGTTCGGTGCAGGGTAGAAAGAGCTTGAAAATGTATTATTAATTGGGGCCGGATTATTTTTGCAAGGGTTACTAAGGAAACCTCAATTGCTATAGTAACTGCATATGTTAAACTGGAATCCTATGACTAAGCTTCAGTTGGGTCACATGGTCCCAGAGCCAGGATCCAAAGAAGAGAAATGTTTCAAAGCACTGCCATTTTTCCCCCCTCTCCTTCTCATGTCAAAATATTGTGAAGTGTTGAAAAGCTTGAAAGAGAGGCATTTTTGAAATGTGGGGCCTGCCTGACAGGTGGGGCAGGAGGGGTCAGCTCCTGTTCTACGCCCTGAATTTCCTCCCGCATCTCAAGGGCAGGGGGGACCTTCCCCGAAGCCCAGGGGAGACGGCAGCCCCCACGACTAATTAGGAAGATCTGCCAGCTCCTGTCCAGGAGCGCCCTGGGCGGTGTGCAGGCTGTCTGTGGGCACCACCCTCCTCCGCAGGGGCGAGGGGGGGTGTGGGCGCCCTCACGGCCCGCAGGAATGTGCGTCTGCATCATGCTAGCACCTCACGGAGTGCTGTACAGGTTACACGCGATGGCCTACAGAGAGTTTAGCACAGGGCCTGCTGGATCGGAAACATGCGCTCCATTCTCACTCTTTCTGACTCTTGTTGGTCCCTGGGTTTGGCCCCACGTTCCAAGCTCAGCAGGGGATCGAGAACAGTCGGACCAGCAGACTTGGTACTAAACGTACAGCCCCTGGACCAGTAGCATCAGAGCCACCCCGGAACTTGTCAGAAATGCAGCCTCCCAGACCCCAACCCACTGAATCTGCCTTTGACAAGATCCCTGGGTGATTCCTATACACCTTAACACCTGAGAAATCCTGGACGTGGCCCTGTGAGGAGTGGATTTGGAGAGGCAATAACGCAGAGGTGGAAAAGGAAAGATGTGGGGGACGAGGTCCCTGCGTGCCGGCACAGGCTCCAGTCACACCCTGTCACCCACACCGCCTCCGGGGACACCTCAGGCTCCCAGGGCTGGGCGAGCTGGGCCCTGTTTGAGGGAAGGTCCCTTTCTTTCTGCATCTGGAGACTTCCCTTCCTGGGCCGCTCCTCAAGCGGAATCATGTGCTTTGGGTTCTAGGAGAGGCCAGGTTACGGCAAGGACCAGGTGGTGACAGGTGAGAGGCATCAGAAGGACCGAGGAACTCAACACGGAAGGGCTGGCCCTTCACCGGCCAACCTACCCATTCTGCGGATTCGCTTTGTATGCATGCTCCATGCATAGAACTTCCACCAGTAAAGGATTTCCTTACAGCCAGTTAAGAGTTGCTAATTAAAACATCTTTTTTGTTTTTATTTTGGAGAGAGAGAGATAAAGCAGGCGAGCAGGGGAGAAGGGCAGAGGGAGAGAGAGAGAACCTTCAGCAGACGCCATGTTCAGCACAGAGCCCGACACGGGGCTCAATGTCACAACCAGGAGATCATGACCCACGCCGGAATCAGGAGTCAGACGCTCAACCAACGGAGCCACTCGGGCGTCCTGAGGTTCATTTTTTAAAGGCCTTTCTCTTTCTACAGAATGACCTAAAGGGCAGGGACTGCGGCCCAAGCATTTGCTAAACATATTAACACATGGATGATTGAGTAAATACGCGATTAATCTTGTCTTGGAGATATGGGATATACAGAAAAGCCAGCCGATCCTGACTGACAGGAGGGACAGCACACTTTGAAAAGTTTGTGACATCTGAGCTTGGCCCTGAGGAACAAGAGAACAGGTAAGGTGCTCCCCAGGCACAGGAGGGGGGCCCCGGTGAGAACTTCCCTGTGCACCATTTTCAGGGCAGGGCAAGCAGCCTGTACGGAAGGCGGCGCCAAGGGGCCTGGGGGGTGCGTGAGATCGCCACCACCCGTGGCTCTCGGGGGGCCCCCCATGGCCTTGTGGCAGGCACTGGCATCACCGGGCGACTTGCTGGGACGCTGAGTCTCACACGCCACAGGGGAGGCCCAGCAGCCTGCAGTTTCATGAGCCGCCAGTGGAGCCCGGGGACACTAAGAGCGAGAACCACAGGTGTGGAGACGAGGAGGCCACAGGGAAGCCCGGGAGCAGCGGTTTCTATGCAGGGGGGTGAGCAGAGGCCAGAGGGGACAGGTAAGGAAACACAGGCAGTGGGGGGCGGGGGGCGGCGAGGAAGAAAGGAAGACGCTGCTCTGTATTAAAGACATGTGACAACGATCAGTAATGTGAGGCAGGAAGGCGTCCACGGCTGGACAGCAGACATGTGTCAACTTGTGAGACCCAAGTCAGCCAAGAAGGGAAGAAGATGGGGGTGCGCGTCCCACCCTTCTCAGTGGGGACAGCAAAGGCTCCTGCCGATCAAGTAGGCATATCCTACGACCCCGTCTTCTTCTCCCTGTGGTCAAGCCCCATCTGAGCCCCTAGAATCTGTGTCAACCTTACACGTGGCCTCCATCCCAGCCTCCCTGCCTCCAGCCTCAGCCCCCACCAGGCAGAACTTCCTAAGCTGCAAACAGGAGCATGTTGCTCACAGCCAAGCAACAGCCCCCTGACAGCCGTTGTCAACAGGGCAGCCAGGTCCCAAGGACGCCGTGTAAACCCATGGGGAGGTCTTTCCTGGTCACATGGACTGGGCAGGGGCTCTAGTCACATTTAATGGACACGAGCCAGCGACAGATGTAAAGCCACGTCCAGGATGGCTCCGTGCACCAAGCCTCTACCTTGGATCCTGCATGACTTTCAAAGGACAGTCATATGGGTGACAACTCTGTCTGAGCCCAGAACCTACTTTCGTTTTACTATCTCCACACTTTTTTCCTGGCGTTGATGCTGGAAGGGTCTTCCTTTGCTGTGCTCAGCACTGCTGTAGAGTCGCTCAGGATCTGGGGCGCCCTGTCCGGGACAGCAGCGCCCCTTGCGCTGGGGGGCCTGACGGTTGGTTGGTGTGTATAGAGACAGAGCAGCAGTGCCTCTGCCCAGGGCGACGGCCCTGTACACGGCCACATTACAACGTGTCGTTGTGTACGAACCACGTTCTCAAAAACTCACCCTCTATTCCACAATTTGGGGCACTGTAACAACTTTTAAAGATTACATGAGTAGGAATGTTATACGGTCTAGGAATAGTAAAGGGACTATTCTAGATTGCTACCAAAAGACGCACATGGTCTGAGCATGACCGGAACTCCTAATTGCTCCATTTAGAATTGTTCCGTTTC